AAAAAAAAAAAAAAAAAGTCACATCATGGCCAAGTAGTCTTGATCTCAGGGAAGGTTCAACATATGCAAATTAATACACACAGCACATGATAGAGAACAAAACGAAGAAAAATCATGTGACCATTACAATAGATGCAGAAAAGTCTTTGACAAAAGTCCAATTCCCATTCATGGTTTAAAAAAGGGTACAGAAGGACATCGCCTCAATCTGATAAAAGCTATTGATGTTAAACCTACTTCCACTGTATTTTTCTAAAATCAGGAACAAGGATCCCACTCTCACTACTTCTGTTGTACATAGTTCTTGAAACTTTATCCAGAGCAATTAAGCAAGAGAAAGAAATAAAAGGATCCATATAGGAAAGGATGAATTCAGACAATCTTTATTCACAAATGTTATGGTAATAACATTTCATTTTAACACAGTGAAGATATGATTGTTTACACAGAAGACCCAAAAAAATCTGCCAAAAGTCTCTTAGAACTAATAAACAAATTCAGTAGTACAGTAGGATACAAAAACCAACACACATACACACACACACACACACACACACACAATCAATGATAGCATTCTTGTACACCAGTAATGAAACTCCCTGAGAAAAACATGAAGAAAACAATACTATTCACAATACCCTCAGGAAACTAAGTACTGGTAATTGACCTAACCACAAAAGTGAAAGACCTCAACAATAAAAACTACAGTACTCTAAAAAAAGAGTTTGAAGAGGACATGATAAAATAGAAAGAAATCCCCTGTTTCTGGATAGGCAGAACCAATATTGTCAAAATGAACATATTTCCAAAAGCGATACATAGGGATAGCTGTGGAAGTGGGGGGCTCAGGCAGTGGTCTGTCTTGGGTGACACAATTTTTGGGTGGCATTATTGGTCAAAAGAAAAATTATATGGTAATAACATTTCATTTTAACACAGTGAAGACTCACGTACATCAAAATACGTATGCTTTTATGTATACAGCATTTTAGTTTTCCATTTTAATAGGTTAATGTATTCAGATATGTTGGAGGGCAGCAAATTGAAGGGCCACCCTTCACGGCAGAAGCTCTAGCTAGGCCACTGAGCAAAAGCAATCCTGGGCAACAAGAGCCAAGCAGGAAGCATCCTGTTCTCAGATTTCAAGTTGTTACTACAAGGATACAGTGATTAAAAACAGTATAGGACTGGCACAAAAGCAGCCATGTAGATACGTGGAACAGGATAGAGGATGCAGAAACGGCCCCAGGCACACTCTGCCTTCTGATCTTTTGGAAAGTGGTCAAAAACATACAATGGAGGAAAGATGACCTCTTTAGCAAATGGTGCTAGGAAAACTGGCTATCAACATGCAGAAGATTGAAGTTGGACCCACATCTCTCAGCATATACTAAACTGGAATCAAAATAGATCAAAGATTTAGAATATTAAAACACAGACACTTAACCAGCTGGAAGATAAATTAGGTAGAACTCAAAGATATATGCTCAGGCAAGGGCTTTCTCAGCAGACCCCCAACTATGCAAGAAATAACATCAAGTATCAACTTCAGTAAATGGATTATATCAAATTAGAAAGCTTCTGCATGGCAAAGGAAACATTCAAAAGATCAAAGAGACAACTTAAAATACAAAAAAAGACCCCACAAAAGAAAAGACTCATTAAAGAAATGAACCACTGGGCTGGGGGAGATAGCTGAGTAGAATAAGCATTTGCCTGGCAAGTGCAAGGTCCTGGGTTCAATCCCTGATACTGGAAAAAAAAAGAAAGAAAAGAAAAAAGAAATGAACCACTGACATGAATAGGCACTTCTGAGATGAAGTACAAAAGGGTCAATAAATATATGAAAAAATGTCCAACATTTCTGGCTATTACAGAAATGAAAATGAAAACAGCACAGGTATTCTATCTTATTCCACAAAGAATGGCTACCATTAAGAAAACAAGTAGTGGGGGGCTGGTGAGATGGCTCAGTGGTCTAAAGCACCTATTTAGAACAAGCTCAGCAAAGCACAGGGACCGCGGTTCAATTCCCCCAGCACCACATGCCAGCGAGCCCCGCCCCCTGGTGGGCTGAGCTGGCCATACACACACACACACACACACACACACACACACACATAAATAAAAAATTAAAAAAAAAGAAAACAAGTAGTGGGCCCAGGGAGATAGCTCAGTACAATAAGCACTTGCCTGGCAAGCGCAGGGTCCTGAGTTCAATCCTCAATATAGAAAAGAAAAGAAAAAGAAAGAAAGAAATCAAGTAGTAACAAATGCAGGTGAGACTGTGAGGGAAAAGGAACTTTTACATCGTTGGTAGGAATGTAGACTAGTACAGATCTATGCAAATCGTTACGGAGTTTCTACAGAATGCTAAAAATAGAAATTACATTTAATTCAGCTATTCCTCTACTACCAAAAGAGTTAAATAAATCATATTACATCAATAGAGGAATCCTCAGGTTTATAGCAGCAAAGCTCATAATAGTTAAATCACAGAAGCAGTCTATATGTCTCTCAACAAATAAATGGATAAAGAAAATGTGGTATGTGTACCCAACAGAGTACTACCCTGCTATAAAAAGGATAGATCTGAGCATTTGTAGAGAAGCGGATAGGCCTTGAGACCATAATATTAAGTGAAATAAATCAGTCATACAAGCTTAAATTTCACACGGTTTCTTTTAGATGAGAAATCCAGAGGGTGAATAAGTTAAAGAGCAAAATGAAAGATAGATGGTAGAAAGCAGGAGCTAGATCTTTTACAAATACAATGGGAACCAAGCAATAGAGAGGGGGAGGTAGGGGAGAGAAAGGATGAAAAAACAATGATGATGTGTCCCATGCACACACCAGCGCCCCGTGGTGAGTGTGATCATTGTGTACTGACAACGTACTAATAAAAATGCAAAGTTTTAAAAATCAGGATAATTACACATTGGACAGTTCCTCATCTTTCTTTCATAGAATGAAGGTCAAAATGTTGTAGGTGGCTGAATTGGAAATATTATAGGCAGTCAGAGAGGGTCAGGCCCTCGAAGGAGAGAGCACGAAAGACAAGATTCCTTGCAACTGTGTAAGAGACGACACTCCTGCTGAGGGCCAGACCTCAAGAAAAAAGATCAAACAAATGCTGACCTTCCTAAAGATAAGCATCCAGGATTGATGATCACCTTGAGGAAGCCAGAAAGAGTCACTAATCAAACACTTATAGGAGTCTCTGTTCTACATTCATGCTCACTTGCTACGTGACTCACTTCTCCATTTGGTCCTGGATTTAATCAATTTTACCTGGGCAATTGTGCTTGTGATCTTATTGGTGGACCATACTTTTGTCCCACCTCATGCCCACCTAGTGAGGTCCCATGTTCTCCATCTTAGACCAGCTTCACCTCATGGTTTTGCTTATCAAAATCCCCAGAAATACAGATTCCTGGGCGACACGCTTGGGTCTCCTGTTCTTCTCTCAGACAGAAGCTTTCTTTCCCCCAGTAAATATATTCTACTCTTAACCTCTGTTGTTCCTAAAATTCACTCTTCAGTTTTAGAGAACATGAACTTGTCCCAGGTATCTTTCAGGTTGGGAATTTCATTCTCGTGTATAAAAAAGAATTCTTTCTACTGTGGCTTCGAAGAAACTCTGGCAAATTGAGTGCTTACTTAAAGCAGTACCTTCATATCAGGTATCTGAGAACATTTATTTCTCTGCTCTTTCTAGCCAGTTTAAAAAATTTTTTATTTTCAGTTGACTTGTTTTGTATTGTACAAAATATGATCTAAAAACATGCTGAATTTTAAACCATGTTTAAATTTTTTTCTAAAAGTACGGTAAAGATCCCATTGCCATTAATTCCCTTCGAAACACTCACTTTTATGTCATGATTTTTGCCACTTTCTAAGGAGATCTGAAAGTCCTCCTTCAAGTCCTTAGTTTTACTTTAGTGCCTGTTTCAATATCTGGAGCAGTTGAAAATGTGTACCTTTCATGGGACTTTTTTAACTTTGAGGATAAGCCAGAAGTCACACAGTGCCACCTCCATTGAATAAGGTAGGTGAGGACACGCCATTCTGTTTGTAAGGGGCTGCCTATCCTTTGGCGGGCATGTGACAGCAGCATTTACTACAGTTTGATCATATGATCATACCTAGTAAAGTCATTCATGAAAGAAGATTCCAGAACTGCTTCAGAAAGTGGCAAGAATGATGGGCTAAGTGGCTCAAAGAAACAGAGAATATTTGAGCAGGATTACGGGCAATGTGTCTTTTACTGTAATGAAATTTTAAACATCCGTTGTGTATTTTGATCATACCTTGTGTTTCACTTTTTGTAAACTGCTTGAAAAGCCTTCATCTTTGCAGCACCAAGGGCATGTTGGATTTAATGTCATGCATGCCTGATTTCCTTTCCTTCAACAGTTTCACAAAACATACTATGTAATGAAGGGTTCAATAGGCATTTAAAAATTAAATTGAACATAACCAGAAGAGACGTATTTCTAAATTTTTCTTCTTTAGGAAAATTCTCTGAAGGAGATGACTCTGAAGTAGCTTAGCCATAATTTGGGAGTGGGCTGAGTAGGCATGGCCTCAAATCTCATTCCTTTCTGTCTTGCCTGGCTTCCAAGGGAGCGCATACCCACAGGATGCCTACCTCTTTGGCAGGCTTTTTCCTTTGGAGGGTGTGGAGTGTGGAAATGAATCTCCATTGGAATGATGAAGAGCTCTGTTGGAGGTTCATTGACTTTAAATTGGCTCCTCAGGGGGTCAAGAACTCTGGGTGGCTCTTCCAAAATAGGAGGTAATTTCAAAGACTTTGGTGCCTGGAGAAAATTTAAACACACAAAAAATCAACATGGCAAGAAAGTATCCAGCCTGGCTTCCATCAGAGAGCAAATTATACTGTATTTTATTATATTTCTTGCGCCAGGAGCTGCTGGGAGAAGGCTGGGTGCTGAGTCTCTGCCTTTGGTTGCATTGTTGCACTTGGGCTCTTGGCCACTGACATAGGCCCGTTATTCCCGCCTTTGATTCCTCTGAGAATCATCAACATGAGTACCTTTCAAGTCTTTGAGAGGATAGATTTTCTTTTATGAGTAGGAAAATGAAGTAGACTGAAATTACATAGCTGAGTTTTCTCCACACTGAAAAGGAGGAATCTATACATATGTTGTTAAGAGGGAAAGCAAAGGCATTTGACTATGCTGTGGGTCAATTAAGAAGGGGAAGAAAATAGGAATTTACATTTGTGTTTGCTTCCCTTATGTAACCTCTCATGGCCGCCATTTCTTCCTCTGTGGAGTAGGAATGGTCATACTGCTTAAGAAAGTGACTCAGAGGGCTACATGACTTAGCACATGCAGTTATAGTAGTGTTTGAAGTAGGATTATTTCAATGTTTTTTTCCTTTGAGAGTGAACTCTTCTTTCATTGAAGTTTGATAACTCTGGCTCCTACGGGGGAAAAAAAATCTAAGCTTTTTTCTACTTTTGCATCACAAACATAGCTGGGAATATTTTAGCCCACTTGTTTTCAGTCTCCATCACACACACACACACACACACACACACACAGGATAGAGACACAAAAAGAAAAGTAATTAGAGCCTTCTGTTTCCAGTTACTCAGAAGTTGTTGAAAATTTTACTTTCCAGTTTCCAACTTCTCTTTCTTTCTTTCTTTTTTTTTTTTTTTTT